GCTCCTCTCTCCTTCCCACTCCCTTCCTCTCTTCCCTCCCTCTCTCTACAACAAAACTGAAAAGACACCAATCACTCAGATCTGACCAGAAATAAGTCTTTTATGTCGGCCGCGTCTCTCAACCCCGTACACGCCGCGATGAGCAGTATAACAAGGAGTAGAAAGGAGGAACTATCTGCAAAACGCTCTCTCTCTCTCTCTCTCTCTCTCTCTCTCCCCTTTACGACAATCGACCCCGAAAACCCTCTTTCTTTCTCTGTGTGCATATGCGAGTGTCTCTGCAAATTTTTTATTGTTTTCTGCTTTTCTGATGAATTTTAATATTTAAATATATGAATTAAAATATAAAAAATTATATGTTTTATGAGTTTGAAATAAATGTTATTTAAAAATTAAATAAATAAATAAATTTAATTTTAATAAATTATAGCTTCATATCCACAAAGTGCAAGTCCCAGGATATTGAGAAAACTATAATACATTATATATTTTGCAAGTTTGAAACAAATACAATAAATTCTATTTTTAAAATGAGTAAATATGATGTTATAAGTACGTATGATTAAATAATTTGACGTGATTTATAATAAATAAATAATAAATAATCTCTCAGTTACTTTTATTGAACTATTTTAATCAATTTTAATAGGTAATAAAATTTAATATTGTATTAATATTTATTAAATGTAATATTACAAATCGAAGTACAGCTAAAACGGAAAAAGAGAGTTTGTCGATTTCATTTAAAAAAATTGAGAGAGAAAGCAAAAGTAAATGATAGCAAAATTAAGCATGAGGATCTAATAGAACAAATATTAAGAGAGAAAGTAAATGGAAGATTTGATGTGTACAAAAAAGTAAATAAACGAATAAACTTCTAAGTAGGTCGTTCTAATTTGATAGCTTAAGAATTAAGTTTCATTTATAAAAAAAAAAAAAAAGTTTGTTTTGAAACGATTTGTTTCTGAAAATTATTATTGATTATTTTGATTCTAAAAATACTAAAATCAATGTTTTATACAATTATCAAAAGATTACAATATTTTAGAAATGAATTTATCAAAATAGTAATTTGTATAATGACATAACGTGATATATGTTGATCACATAATCTCTTATTAATTATGAATCTCTACACTGGTTTAACGTATTATATGATATTGTGCATCACATATTATGACATATTAACACGTGATCGAGCACGTGAAATAATTTTAGGGATTGCATAATGCCTCACATGAAGAACATTTATAATATAGTACATTGTGTATTGCAATTAGCCAAGAGATTTGTCAAATATGCGTTATAATTGTAAATATTGTAATACATTGTATAGATTCTTTTCACATACATTTTTAAACAAATGTGAATGCACGATATGATGTATTGCATCATATAATAAGTGTTATAATTGAAATGTTAAAAAATACATCGTTTTGAACTAATTGATATATATGACATATATATAAAGTCTAAACACTATTTTCCTTCACGCATTTAGAGATCTTATATTCTTTATATTTCAACAACTTTTTGATGGAATTAATTTAAGAAAGCAAACAAAAACTTTTATATTTTTCTTCAGCTATTTTTAAATATCTAAGTATTTTTCTCCATGCATATGAGCTCTAATAGATAGATTTTCTAAGATAATTTTTTAAAATTTTTAATGATCAAAATACGATTACAAACAAGAGTATGAATTGACTTTTATAATATTTTGACTAATTTTTACTTCAAATTAAAACTATTACAATAAGTGCATAAGTAGAGTAATTCAATAAATAATAAATGATATATGAAATAAATTGAATGATACTCAATCTCTTAAGTAAATATCGTTAGTCGTGATAAGATTAATTAATATTATACGCTTTCAACAACTATAGATACTAAAATAATTAACTCAAGATTATCACATAAGCAAATATTAATTAAGAAATTGTATTGGAATACATGCATTTATTTTAGTGAAACGACAACTATTTAATTTATACTAATACTGTTTTAAATGAACTTTTTAAAAAAATATTTTTAGTAAATTTAAAAGAATTGAGTAAAGTTTGAAAATCTCTTAAATATAGAAAAAAAAAACAGAACTATATGTTATATTTCGAAATTATATAGATACATTTAAAAGAGAATAAATTAAAAATGTACGTATCTAGATATAGTATGATTTAATGTAAGTAGGTGATTTCACTTTTTCCCTTTATGATTCTTTTGAAAAATATGAAAAAATCCAATTTAAAGTTTTTAAATTTTTTACCTGAGGTTCTCTATTTTTAAAACTTTATAAAAATTAGATAAATTTTTAAATATTTTTTTAGAAAATTGATTTATGTTATAAAATATAAAATATATATTTAAGTCAATTTTCATAAATGTTTATGTAAAAAAATATATTAAAAAAGAAAATTACAAAAAAAATTGAATAAAATTTTATTTAAAAATAATTAAAGCAGTATAACCACGGTAAGAAATCATATGAATAGTACAATACTCACTCTAAAAAATATATGAGAATGTGAGGATCACATATAAATAATATGTGCTATGCATATATACATTTTTATATATTATGTACACATTTAATACTCAAAATTTATTTTTATATATGTAGGTATATATATATCTATATATATAGGTATACATCTAGTTTTTTTTTTTATAATCCAATGTACTTATTGTTAGCTAACCATCTAAATAAATTGATATGTGTCCAATGTTAAGAATAATAAAATTATATTTGATAAAAGTTCATTTAATTTATTTTCACTCTCAAATACGATATATAAATAATTTAAGAGAACGTTTTCTATTTACATAATGAGTAAAACTTAAGAAAATATTTTAATTTTTATAAATTTAAAATAATTAAAAAATAACATGCATATATAAATGAAGAACTTATATTTATAATCCATATGTGTATGGCGCACCCGACCATCCATTCATTTCTTTAGACAAATTTTCGAGAACACTTCGATCATTTCTTTTGTTTTTCGAAACAAATTTTAGCTTCTTTTTAATTTTGTCGTTAAAAACCAAACAACGTAAATAATTTGAAACAATGTTGAAAGTTCGGAAAATAATTTATAATAAAGAATTTATTTGAGACTAAATTATAGCATTAATAAAATTTAGGGGGCTGATTTGGATTATTTATTTATTTATTTTTTTCAAAAATTATTCTAATAGCTTAAATGATTTGAAATTTATTTTATTTTATATATTAGTTTATTCTATTCAATAAATATTAATTTCAAATTCTTATTATTTAATTAAATAATCATTTAATTAATTATTAATAAATATAAAGTTTTTAATAATAAATTAATATTATATTTTTGATACCCAGCCCTGTTTCTTCAGCCCTAAACCCACTAAGCGTGAAACCCAAATCCATTCGACCCATTCTTCTTCCAGCTCAACCCAATTTCTCTTTGAAACCCTAGAAACACTGACGCTTCCTCTCCCGCTTCCTCTTCCTCACTCTCGTTCAGGAATCCAAGCTACACGGAGCTTCAACTGCTCTTTTTCTCGGAGTGATTTTTTCTGTCTGAATATTGCCTCGTTTCTCTCTCAACACGTATTGAGAGAGAATCTGGTAGAGAAGGTTGAAAACATGGCGGATGTAATGTTGATGAATGAGATAGAGGCGACAGCAGCGCGGCTGGGAATCAATCTCGCCCATGTGGATTGCGATTCAATCCGTCTTCCCCCTGGTGATGACTTCGGCATCGTTAGGTAAATTTTTAAGCATTTTTGTTGGTTGCCTAGAAAAACTAAGAAAGGGCCCTGGTCTCCATTTGCCAGTTCCTTATATTTTTCAATTTAATTATTTATTTATTTTTAGTTTTGGTTTGTATACTGTTTTGTAGAATAAGAACATGTTGAATTAGTAGTTACTGATAAGTATAGGAAATAAGGAAAAGGGGGTAATTATGCCCTCCGTCTGTTTGGTTGTCAGTGGGGAAAAAAAGAAAAATTGTGAACATAAAGAGTATTTTTAACCATCTTTGTGTAGCAAAGCCGAAGCACAACGGTTATTAGTTGAAACAATATAGCATGTCTCTGGTGGTCTGCTTGATGTTTAGTTTTTTCTTTTTCGTTATTTTCATTTTGAAAAGAAAGTACTAATTTTTCAATGCAAAACTGGAAGTTATGGATAGGTTAATTTCTTGTTTTGCTGGGATTTGTATATGTACTTCTGTTGACAATACCTTTGTTGCATAATTTATTATGATAGAGAAAGTACCTGTTTCTTTTTTGTTTGCTTTCATGGAAGTTGAAGCAGCAAAACCAGTTAACTGTGGTAAACTTTGACACCCGGATATGCAATCTAAGGGAAAAACATGTCACCTTCAATTTCTAATTTTTCCTTAACCATTCGGATCTGTGTGTTCTGATTATAGTTTCAACTCTCTGGTGTTCTTTTATTTTGATGTTTTTCTTCTGTTTTGTAGTGATGACGAGGATGTTTACCAAGATGAGCAGCTGGAGTTTGAATCTGGGTTTGGAAACATTATTGTTGTTGATAATCTTCCAGTTGTTCCGAAGGAAAAGTTTGAGAAGCTTGAAGGTGTTATTCGTAAAATTTATAGTCAGATTGGCCTCATTAAAGACGATGGCCTTTGGATGCCTGTTGATCCCGAAACTCAGAAAACTTTGGGTTACTGTTTCATTGAGTATAATACTCCTCAGGTTTCTCTCACGTCCCCCTCCTAGACAGTAAAAGCATAGATCAATTATTTTACCATCAAGCAGGACATGGTGTGCCATATAACCTAGATTTTTTTTTTGATATCACTGGACAGTTGTCATTGGTTCCTGTTCATGTGTGAGCTATTACTCTCTATGGTTGTGCTTCCTGTTTTCTATTTCAAGGCACTAGTTATTGATGCCTGGCGGTTTTATGACTTGATAACTCAGAAATTATGTACTTCTTATGGAAGATTTGATTCATTTTTGGTTGTTATGTAGGAAGCTGAACTCGCGAGGGAGAAGACAAATGGCTACAAATTGGACAGATCACATATTTTTGCTGTTAACATGTTTGATGATTTTGACAAGTTCATGAAGTTCCGGATGAGTGGGCTCCCCCTGAAATTAGACCATATACTCCTGGGGTATTTACTTA